TTCTATTCCACAATGCCCTGCCTCCCCTCCACCTTCTTCTCCAAGACCCCAGCCCTGCAGCCCTGGCCCCTTCACTGCCTCTGGGTCAGCTGGACTCATTGCCTCCTTCTTCCCACCTGCCTCTGTTCCTTCTCCAGGCCTTCACCCATGCTCTCTGCTAAAATGCCTCCCCCCACTGACCCCACAACTCCCTCTGCTCCTGCTACCCCTTCCTATCTCGCTAAAGTCAAGTCTCCCTCCTCTCCACTCCTGGGGTGACCCTTGTCTGCCAGAATCACAATTGGTCTTACTGTGCAATTTAATTGTTTCCTGAATGCTATCTTATCTTCCCAATCAGAATGCAACTTCCTCTAAGGCAGACAATGGCTTGTGGTCTCTCCTGCCCCATTAGGCCAAACATCTGTCAGACAAATTTTAGTGACTCTACACTGCTCTGAGGTCCAGACCTCCTGCCCCTGATCCTCTGACTCCTGTTCCTGTCCAGGGATCCTAAGGGCCCACTCCCTACAGGTGCCCACACCTTGCCCGAGAACCCTGCACCACCAGCTCACCACCCAAGTTGTCTTTGAATGTGCTGCTGTTGAAGCCGGTGAAGTGGCCGACGCGGGGTGGCAAGGAAGAGCCATTGGGACCAGGCCGAGGAGTCAAGGAGATGTCCCTGGGGCCCACTGCCACAAAGCTGATCAGCACAGAGGCCAGGGAGCCGGACACCAGAAGGAATGTAAGGAAGGAGGCACGAGCGTAGAGGCCGGCTCCCAACGTGCAGACCCCACCCACGAGGCCCAGCAGTAGGGAGCCATAGAGGAGGCTCCAGCCATAGCCCTGGGGCAAGATGTGGAGCCCATTGGGACCTGTGGTATCTGGAGAGAGGCAGGGACAGAGTTAGAAGGCCTGACCCTAAAGGAGGGCCCCAGCCCCAACCACAACCCTAAAGCAGGGCCAGACCCCTCCACCCATCTGCTGTCAGAGACTGTTCTTCACACGTCCATTCTCGGTCCTACCCCCAGCACCTTAGCTCTGCCTGGCGGGTACCACCGACCTTACTCCATCGATTTAGGACTACTAGTATAGCCTGACTAGATGGTCAAGATCAACCTCTGAGATGTCTGCATCTTCTGCATGAGGCTGGCCACACAGTAGGAACACAAGAAAGCCAAACTCATGCATCAGGTTTTTCCCTTTCCTGGAGAGAAACTTCTCTCTCTTGATCCCGCCATCCCAGAACCTGCAAACCCACAGAGCTGCCCAGACCGGGTAGAAAGACAGACCAGCCCCGAAGACATCGAGCACAGCCTCCACCAGCCCCAGCAGGGAGACGGCACAGCCACAGACGTTAGCCAGGTAGAACATCAGGCCAATGCTGCCTCCAACCTCGGGCCCCAGCGTCCGGCTGATCATGACTACAAGTGGAAGCAGGAGGTGAGTGTTAAGGGAAAGGAGACTGGCAAGGAACAAGAGGAAGGGGCTGTGGCACTCTACAGCTGGTCCCCAGGCCTCACCTCCCTGCCATTCCTTACCCAGGGGGCTTTGTACAAGTCACGAATACTCCTTGAGCTCCAGCTCCCCCATGTGCCAAATGATTAATATCTGATTGATAAGACTGTTAGGAGAAGGGCCAGCAGCTAGCACAGGGGTTACGTCACTGGACTCCCACATGGCTGACCACAATTCAAGTCCTGGGCCTGGTGGCTTGAAAATCACACTGAGTGCATGTGCATGTGTGCCCAAGATCCCCAGAGGAGGATGGAGGAGAAGGGACTGCAATATGGCCAAATTCCCTGGAGAGTGATTTCTCACATGTCTCTGTCTCTCCAACAGGTACATGCACCCTAAGGCAAAACTTCTAAAAAAAAAATAAATAAAGATTGTTGGGACACTGGAATATGGCACTAACAGGTAAGGCAATTCTGGTCCCCTTCCACTCCAGCCTGCCTGATGGGCATTTTTAAAACTTGCCCTGAGAGACAGAAGGTACTGTACCCCTCCACACCCTCCCTAGAAGACCCCTCACAGCCCAGCCCCTGTCTGCCAGTGTGGGAGGATACAGTAGGCTCCACCCCCACGCACAGCTCCATTGGTGGCAATGGCACACACAGAGAGGACAGTCAGGGCCAGGATGAAGTAGGCAACCAGGAGCATGGCCAGGGCCTGCAGCAGCCCAGCGTGGCCCACCACGAACCCTGGTAGGAGGAACAGAGCACGTGATTGGGCAGCCTTCTGCCGTGCAGAGCCCCCTCCCCCAGCCCCAGGGAGCCTCCTCCACAACCTCATCCCAATCCCACCTGTCCCCACCACTTCCCCAGAGAGCCCCCTGTGCCTACTCACCAATCCTCAGGAACACAACTATGCTGAACATGGACAGGACCGTGGGCACCACCACACCCAAGAAGGTGGAGAGCTTCCGGGCAGACGCCCCACCAGCTCCCCCAGCCCCATTGGCAGGGAAGGCAGCCCCCTCCTCCCCCAGGAGCCGGTAGGCCAGCAGAGGTGAGTTCTCGCTGGCCATGGCTGGGTGCAGGCGGAGGGGGCCACGAGTGGTTCAGGTGGCCTGTAGACGAGATTATGCCCATGGAAAGCAGCTCCTCAGAGCTCCCTACCCCCAAATCACCTCTAACCAAACACCCAGCTGCCTCCCACAGAGGGAGGTGCAGATGGTCCCAACCGCTGCTCCACAGTAGTGGACCCTAAACCCTGCAGAGTGGGTATCAGGGCCCCTGCCACCCCTGATAGTCGCCTCCTTCCCCATGTTCCTGAGACCAGGATGACAGCGGTCCTGGAGAGGGGCAACGATCTTCTGGCAATACCGGCCTCTCCCTCCTTAACTGGCAGTGCAAGAGGAAGCAAATCCCCCAAAAGGGAAGTAAGTTACCGGCAAGAAACCCTCTTACTGAGTCCTGAGAGACCCTCCCAAGTCCCCCAGGCAATCAATCGCCTCATGTACTGCCAACAAGAAACTTCCACATCTTCGCAAGTCCCACCCTCCATCAATCCTCTCCCTAACTCATCCCTTCTGTCCTCACCAGATTCCTCCCATCCACACGAGGCACACCCCCCCCCAAACTCTCCCAACCCAAACACACCCCTCGACTACCAAAATAGAAACGCAGGCGGGCTGGCATAGCCCAACACAAATCTGAGTCCTCCTCCCCCACCAGGGTCCTGCCCACTTGCTCCAGCAGCCGGGTGCAGGGGGCCCAGAGCTCCTTCTCCGCCAGGCGCACCCACAGCTCGGGCGCGGCAGGGCGCTCACTCACTCACCGGAGCGGGCGGCCGTGGGGGTGGTCCCCGCGAACCAGAGGGGTCCGCTACAGGCGGAGGGGGTGCGGGGGCCGGAAAAGACAGCCGCAGCTACCGGGAAGGCAGGGCCCGAGG